TAATAATAAATATCAAAGGTTTACACCATCAGGTTGCAAGGATACAGGGATTAAACTGTTTGAGTTTGTGACAAATATTTAAAATCACAATTTTATCAAATTTTGTTTTATTGAAACATTATTTTCATTTGATCTTACCTTATCCGATATAATTTGTTCAAAACAATTTATTTGCCTGAAAAGTGTTGCATGAATGCCTGAGGTCGGAGGTTGGCCTAGCTCAATAAAAAGGCCAATTTGAGGCCTAACGAGAAATATCTAATTACTAATAGGCCTAAATATGCAGAGTATGTGTTGACATCTCAAATCTCTATATTTTTTTTTTAATTGAATTGTAAGCTATCAAGGACATGGTGTGGGGGGGAGGGGACTTTTTTTAAAATTGGAAATATGGGAGATGTGAGGGGGGGGGGGGTTATATTTTTAGTCTCAGAAATATTTGTGTTTGAAAGCAAAAAAATCTGCATTATTTTGATATGAGAAAATTGATCTCTCAAATAAAGGGATCGTTTAGATATTTGGGTAATGTGAGAGGGAACAATAATTGAATAAATTATAGGAATTATTATCTAAAGTTTCTCAATGTTACAAAAACTAACTTAAGAAAAAAAAATTTACTTTTTTTCTGTCTTTCGAATGAGTTCAAATTACTTTATTCAGTGAGACCCATTAAACTGTGGAAGAGGAAGATGACTCAAAGACTCAAGTTATGACTTTGAATTGTCCAAAAACATGAAATAAATTGAGTAGTTGACTTATTTCACTAAATAAATTGGTTTTCAAGTAACTGGTAAAACTATTTGCTTTACGACAGATATCTAATATTAATTTAATATTATTTTAATGTAGTCTTTCTATTCCACATTATTGTGGGTTCCAATGTAGTCTTTTAGACTTCGTGAACATTATTATTTTTACTTTTGATACTTCAATCTTAGATTATTTGATTTAGAAGAAATTATAGTTTAAAATATCTAAGATCTGTAGATACAGGGTTTCCGCCTGTTGAAATTTGGCCTGCATGCAAATTATCTACTTATATCAAATTTTATCGCGGGGCACGAAAAAAATATGTATCTAGCTTAAGATAAAATATAGAAAAACAAATTTGTAAACTCTTGATGGGATAAAAAATGTTTAAATTGCAATAAATTATATAGCCTGTAAATCAAACTGCCCGGGGTTCTTTAATCTTTTTACACGTTACTTAATTAAGTAAATCAAATAAATATATATTACTAATTTGTGTTCTTAAACTAAACAACACAATATAGTGTTTTGCTGAATTTTTCTTATTTTTGTTTGTCTAAAGTTTAATTGTTTAGAATTACATTTTTAAATTCAAACTTAAAACAAACAAGCATAGAAATCACAATACAAAAAACTTGTCCCAACTCCGAAATAGTGACTATCACAAAAACTTAACACAGATTTACAAATGCGTCAGTTTTGTATTCAATTTTTAAATTCACCTAATATATAATTGAGTACTATTTAAAAATGCGTCAGTTTTGTATTCAATTTTTGAATTCACCTAATATATAATTGAGTACTATTTAAAAATGCGTCAGTTTTGTATTCAATTTTTAAATTCACCTAATATATAATTGAGTACTATTTAAAAATGCGTCAGTTTTGTATTCAATTTTTAAATTCGCCTATTATATAATTGAGTACTATTTAAAAATGTGTGAAAAATGTTTATGAAAATTCAAGATAAAAAGTCATTATTTTGCTTCGAAACGTATAAGAAACCTTCAACCTTCGATCGTGTAAATTGAAAATAAAAATGAGGGATGAAAATTCTCTAAAAATTGTATAAAAGTGCTCGATCGTGAATTAAATTTCTGTACCATCAGTGAGTTATAAAAGTATAATTCAGTTATTTTAGAAAAAAAATTCGTTTTTTAAAGAAATCAGATACTATTTATTTCAAAGACAAACTTGGATTGTGCACATCCCTAAAATGTATATTTTAAGGACGTACAAAAAAATGTTTAGTCTCAAGTGCAAGGTTTAACATTTTTATCTTTTATACTATAACATTTTTAGCTGAGTCTTTGACAAAAACTAAAATTTTCTAATCCCTATATCTATATCTATATACCTAATTGGGTAAACCTTAGATCTAAGACATTGAGTTGCAAAGATATAAAATTAGAGTTAGTGGTAAACACTAAAATATTTGGGTTCAACAATATTTGTACTTGTTTTGTGCAAAAGTCTTGAGACCTGAATTCCTAGTACTTCTTTAATTTTTGTACTGTCAATAGAGATTCTTTTCTTAATTAATGATATGAAATATCTGCACTCCATTTTAAATTTTTTAGAATTAAGCATGATATTTAAAAAGAATTACTTTTAAGTTTCAATTTTTTAAGTTTTATATCTAGTTTTAAGATAATTATAGTATTAATTGATTTTTTAGTTTTCAAATTTGGAAGGTTTTTAATAAATAAACGTATAAATCGATTTTTTTCTTTTTATTTTTCTTTAATTTTTCTTGTTAAGTTGCTAGAAGGGGGGGGGGGATTGTGGAGTAAAAAATATTCTGATTTTATCGAATTTTTTTACTTAAATTTGAAAGATTTAAAAGGGGTAAAAATATCTTTCACTTTCATGGCTTCATTCAAAACTTTCATATTTTCTGAACATTGAAAGTAGAAAGTAGAAAGTAGAAAGTAGAAAGTAGAAAGTAGAAAGTAGAAAGTAGAAAGTAGAAAGTAGAAAGTAGAAAGTAGAAAGTAGAAAGTAGAAAGTAGAAAGTAGAAAGTAGAAAGTAGAAAGTAGAAAGTAGAAAGTAGAAAGTAGAAAGTAGAAAGTAGAAAGTAGAAAGTAGAAAGTAGAAAGTAGAAAGTAGAAAGTAGAAAGTAGAAAGTAGAAAGTAGAAAGTAGAAAGTAGAAAGTAGAAAGTAGAAAGTAGAAAGTAGAAAGTAGAAAGTAGAAAGTAGAAAGTAGAAAGTAGAAAGTAGAAAGTAGAAAGTAGAAAGTAGAAAGTAGAAAGTAGAAAGTAGAAAGTAGAAAGTAGAAAGTAGAAAGTAGAAAGTAGAAAGTAGAAAGTAGAAAGTAGAAAGTAGAAAGTAGAAAGTAGAAAGTAGAAAGTAGAAAGTAGAAAGTAGAAAGTAGAAAGTAGAAAGTAGAAAGTAGAAAGTAGAAAGTAGAAAGTAGAAAGTAGAAAGTAGAAAGTAGAAAGTAGAAAGTAGAAAGTAGAAAGTAGAAAGTAGAAAGTAGAAAGTAGAAAGTAGAAAGTAGAAAGTAGAAAGTAGAAAGTAGAAAGTAGAAAGTAGAAAGTAGAAAGTAGAAAGCTGAATGTTGATTGTTAAATTTAGATTTGTAATATTATCAAACTTTAAGTGAGAGGAATTGAGTCTTTGCCACAAACTCTGATTTCGCATCCCTATATCTTTCCAACCCAATGTTGTAGCCCTTTATGATTTCTGTTAGATGAAAAAGTCTAAGTTTGAAATAACAAAGATTTACAGCATCAGGTTGCAAAGATATAGGGAGTAGAAATTTGAGTTTGTTTCAATGACTCAATTCCTTATTAAAAAGTCAAACTATTTCTTTCTATTAAAAGTTTCTATTTCAAATTTTTTCAATATCTCCAATTAAAATGCAAATTGAAAATTGGCTATCAAAAAGTTGGAATTGGTTCAATCAGTTCTTCGAGTAGACCTTGTTATATTTATATTAAAATGCATAATACTAGGGATGGATTTTTTTTCAGTTCATTTTTTGAGTGATCATTGCATTTTTCCCAATGTTTGGTAGAAATTGCTTATCAAAAAGTTGGAATTGATTCAATCAGTTTATCGAGGAGACCTTGTTATATTCTTGTTATACGCAAATAACATCAGTTCTCCCACTAAACCTTGTAAACAACAAAATAACAAGGTTTCGTGGAAAAGAAGAAAAAACAAAAAGAACATTCTTCAGCCGCAGTTTATCCATTTCACCAATTATTTCTATTTTTTTCGTTAATAGAAATTTATTTTTGACATGATTTGTTTTTGTATTTTTGAACATAGTGATGTATTTATAAAATAACGAAACGTTGATAAAAAACATACAAAAATTTTCGGTGAAAAAAGAGACACATACACTTAGAGGGGTTCTATGAATAGAACGGTGTCAAAGGTTCATTAATCTTTCTTTGTATTCCCCCCCCCCAAAACCAGAAAGAAGAAGTCCTACGATGCATGCACTGAATTTGATTTATTTGTATTATATTGCAATTATTCGAAAATATGATAACGATTATTAACTTTGTTTTTCAATTTTAAATTCATCAATTTTATTGTATTTCTTTAAACCCTCGAAATTTGATCTTAAAAATTAGAATTTTCCTGTTCGATTTTTACTACGCTTTTTTTAATATATTATTTTATTAATTTATTATAATCTTAGTTAATAAAATATTACTAGTAAAAAGTATGAATCATAGTTTTAAACAAAATGAAATCTAAGGAAAGGAACTGAGTTCTTACCACAAACTCAAATTCTTCTATTTCCTTTAAGTTTGGAACCTGTTTGCGTAAACCTTTGATATTTCAAACTTAGATTGTTTGATATCAATATTATTCAAAGTTTAAATATCAAAGATTGGGGTTAAAAAGAATGGATTAGCTATTTTTTAGCCAAAAACTCAGTTCCTTTGTGTAGAAAAGTGAAATTAAAGGAATTGAACTTAGTTCTTGTTACAAACTCAACTTTTCTGATTCCTATAACTTTACAACCTGATGGTTACTTAAAATATAAACACTATAAACAAATATTGATTTAAATCTTTGAATTGTTTCCGTCCGTTTTAAAAACTCTAAAATGTATTAGGATTTTTCTAATTACTTCTTCTGAAATAACAGCCCATGTCAGCTTAGAAATTTTCCTCTCTTAGGCTTGAAAAAGTGTAATTATATTTCGGACCTGCTGTCTCATCACTGGTGAATCTTGCTAACTGTGCATTAAACAAAATAGTGATTAATGAAGAGAACTTATTATATTATTTTTTATTCTTTTTTGATGATTATCTTAAAATTTTTTTTCCCCAGAGATCTGTTGATTGGGCTGGCGGAGCTAGAGAAGAAGACGATCAGAGGTTTTGACGAGGTTAATCGACTCGAGGAGAAGACAGAACGTGTCGAGGTTCGACAAAGAGAACATGAGAAGCATCAACGACTTCGCCGTGAAAAAGTGGCAATGTCGAACGGAACTATGCAGACCCTGCTCCAGGATGCCAAACAGATCGATAGCATTCTCCAGGAGGTCCGGGAGTACCAACAGTCAGATATCAAGGTGGCTGAGAACAATGTTAATGAGTTTATCAATCTGATGGGAGCTACTAGCGCCGGAGAGATTAAGGAGGATATTGAGCAAATAGAAAAGTTTAAGAAAATCTCTGAGGAATTGAAAGCACAGGTGATGGAGGATAGGCTTGAGAGTAATAAGATCCAAACAGCTGTAGTGGATCAGGATCAGACTATAGACGTCAAGTTAGCAACAGATCTACTCAAGGGGAAAATTCAAACAAGGAAAAAGAAAACTCTAAAGTTGAAACAAGAATATGAAGAATTTTTAACAGAACAGAAGAAAAAATATGATATATTGCTGAAAGTAAAAAGGGCCGAGGCAGAAAAAATGCGATTGAAAAAACTGAAAGAGGAAGCAGAAAGAAAACAAAGAAAGGAAGAGGAAAGAGAATTAGAACGTTTAAGAAAATTACAAGAAGAAGAAGAGAGAAAGAAAAGAGAAGAAGAGGAGAGGGAGAAAGAAAGACTAAGAGAGCTGGAAGAAGCCGAAGCTAAAAAGATTGCAGAAGAGAAAAGACAGAAACTTCTGGAACAACTTAAAATAAAATCTGAAATTCAAGAAATAATTAATACTGAAGCCAAGAACCTACAGAAAATGCAGTCAGTTTCAGAGACTGTTGAGCTGACACAAAGGGAAATAGAACTTGTGTTTGAGAAGCGTCGAGAATTATGTACAAACCCCGAGGGATTAACTGATGAAAGTGTTATTGAGAAAATGCTGGTTGAGTTTACAGACTTCTCTGAGAGTTTACAAAACAACGAAGAAGTTTTAATCAGCATTGGGAAGAAGGTTCTCATCCCCTCTCAGGATATGATCATGCTCATGGAGGAAACTCAAACCCTGTGTACTCGTATAAAGAAGGATTGGGTTGTGCTGGAACGAATGCAGGGAAGAACAAATAAGCAACTGGATAATCAGAAAAAGCAGTTGACTGGACAGCTGCTCGAGATCAAGAGAAGGGAAGAAGAAGCAATGGATGCGCAGAGAAAAGCTCAATCTGAAATAGATGCTGCCAATGCTGAAGCTGAAAGACTTAGACTTCTTGCAGAAGAGCAGAGACGATTGCTGGAGGAAGAAGAGAGAAAACGAAGATTACTGGAGGAAGAAGAAGCAGCTAGGTATGCAGAAGAAATGAGACGAAGAAAACTAATGGAAGAAGAGGAAAGACAAAGAAGGATTCGCGAAGAGGAGGAAGAAAGAAGAAGGAGAGAGTTAGAAGACGAGGAGATGAGAAGAAGACAACAAGAACTAGACGAAATGGAAAGATTGCTTGCGGAAAAGCGGGAACAGATTGCCGTCATCGAAGAGGAATGGAGAGCCTTTGACTGGGATGATAAGCCCTGGGACGGGGAGTATGCTGGAGAAATGATTGGATGTTTAGCTAGCCCTGCCCTCCTCGCCGGTATCAGGGATCCAAAGAAAATTGCGGAAATTCTTCGCCGGGCGAAGGCAATGGCCCTGCTTCGGGAACAAATGCGCGAAGACGCGAAGAAGCTTGCATATATTTGCAAAGCTATTGAGGAGATGCAGATTGCTGCAAAGAAGGCTGAGGAAAATAGATGGTCTCGACAGAACACTGAATGGGTGAAGGATAAGGTTGTATTCCGTCCTTGTGATCTTATCTGTTCCACCCAGGAGGCCTCCTTCAAACCAAACAATTTCTTAAGCCTGGAGGAGAGTCGACGCCAGGCTAAAGAAAGGAAAATATCAAGAGCAAATATGGCTCCTGTAACCCTACAGGTTAGTGTCATTGATAAAAGGGACTGTAGACATAATTTCAAGAGACCTTTCACTTATAAAGTAAAGGGACATGTCATATTTACAATGAAACCCTTTAAACATTTGTCTTATTGTTGTCGCTTAATAAATATTATTTTAAATTATGCTTTTCTGTAAACTACAGACAATATCTTTCTCATTATTACTCAGATAAATGTTTAAAGGGTACCATTAAATTATGGATCACGAGACTTCACAGTCCATTTAACCTTACATCTTAAAGTATTTTTTTACTATAACACTCCTACACACATACTTGGCATAAAAGATGAAAGAAAAAATATATTTCAAACAAAATTAAAATTAGATCATGATTGATAACTAACAAGCGTGCAATATTTTCTTTTACCTAAGGTGTTTGCAACTATAAGTGTATAACTATTAAGTTGTTAACTTAAATGATATTATAATCGTTACAATTTGGCTTCCATTTTAAATGGACTGTTTTAATCAAAAATACATGAGAAATATTTGCTGCCCCTCTTTAAATATAAATCCATTGAAATCCATTTTGGCGATAATATTTTCGGAATTTCAGATTGATTTGTTGATACAAAATATAAATTTAAAGAATAAAAATAAGTAGATAAATTTTTTGAAAACAAGTATTTTTTTCCAAATCCTATTTCTTTTCAAATTAACTGTCAACTGCATGTAACCCAGACTTTAAGTAAAAGGATTGAATTTGGTTTAGGCAAATTAACCCAGATTTTTCTTCTTATGATTGAAAGTTTTATGTGATTGTATTTGTTACTAAGTCATTAAATATTACAGGAAATAATGACTACCTTTGAAATCTTTTATTTTATTTCTACATAGAAAGTGAAGAAGTCAATGGTAGAATTAATTATTTCTTTATCATCAATATTATATTCTTATTCTGTATAAAGATACTGAGTTTTGCCACAAACTTAAATTTTTCACTACCTTTATCTTTGTAACCTTATCTTTGATATTTCAAACTTATTTTATCTATCAGAATTCATAGTTTGAAATATCTATGACATTTGGTTGCATAGATATATGGATTAATTAGAAAATCAGAGTTTGTGGCAAAGACTCAATTTATCGGAAAATTCCTCCGTTTTTTTCCAATGTAACAGATCGTCTTTACAATCTTCTCATTTGTGGGTAACCCTGTAACTATTAGTTTCTAATCTAGGAGCTTGCTAAACATTCCGAGATCCCTGTCTCCGCCCTAGAAGGATCCTATGGTGGGTGGTCAAGGCAGAGGGTGAACCACGCCCCTTCCTCTAAACGTAAAGGATACCTGGATAGGTTTTAGCAAAAGTTGAAATATGGAATTAATATTTAGTTTTGATAATAAAAGGGTAGGGTCACAGATTCTTGATAATTCAGATTAATTTCTGAATTCTATCATGTTTGTAAACAGTCTGCATTGATTGATAGAGTTCAACTGGTTCAATGAATTCAAACCGAAACCTAAATCAAGTTTAAAAACCGAGACCAAGCTCATTAATAAAAATACGCGGTATTCATTATAGATTTGGCGCGTGCAATTTATAAAAATAATTAACAAAATTTATTCGTTTCTTTCAAGGATTATTTCATTAATTTCCCGTCGTAAGGAAGAACCTAGACGATTATTATGCATGATAAAGTTACAAACAAAAATGAATATAATTTAAAATGAATATTCAATATTTAGTTTATAATAAACTACTTTTGTAGAAGCAAAATTCCTGTAGCATTTCTGTAATAGTGTGATCATGAAAATTATAAAAAACTAAATCCTAAATATTTTTATTTAATTACAAAACTAAGATTCATGAAATTTACATTTAAAGAAACTGCTCGGATAGTTTGGTAATATGGCAATGTTCAAGAGTAATTGTTAAAAAAACAAAAAAACAATTTTGATTTGAAAAATTTGACACAAATACTAAAATATCTGAACATTTCCTATACTATCCTATAACATTCATATTGATGCCCTCCATTATGGTATTTTCCCAAAGGCGACTTCCCAAGTGACAATTTCCCGCATTGGTAATTTCCCAATCGGCAACTTCCCAAAGGTTATGCATCTTCTAAGTCGCTGCATACCATAACATGCTAGGGGCCGAGCGCTGCGGTTGGGACAGACTTGGGAAGTTGCCGCTAGTATGGGGAGGTTATGTATTTTGAATTCTACTCAGTTTTCTCAGAACAGTTTATTAACGATGCAATATTGCTCTGTAAAAGACAGAATGCAAGTCTTCCTGTGAAAATGGAATCCTGCACACGATAAAGGAGTAGTGGATTTTAATGGTTACATGGAAAACAAATTCTCCATTTAAATATTTTCAGAAATCACCCCCGAGTACTGTAATATACAGATTGACCTTTCGAAGTGAAGTACATCGCCTGTACAGTTAGTAAAGGATTATTGTACATCATCACTCTATATACTATAACCTCGTTGTTATAGCCCAATATATGTCGTAGACCTTTCGCCAATTTCTTATTCATTTAACCATAGATACAACTATAGGTCGTATCTATCTATCTACATTGCTCTGGTAAAGCGTAACCATAATGAGACTATGGTTCTACCTATGGTAGAGAGTCTAAGAAATTGGCCACTTATATAGATGTGTAACAAATGCCTTACTCCAATAAGTTTTCTTAAGTCAGTATCAATCCGGATCCAACCTTTGTTTCCCTTAGTATCCATCAATCGAGATACAACCTCCGTATCCGTCAGTATCCATCAATCGAGATACAACCACCGTATCCGTCAGTATCTATCAATCCGGATTCAACCTCTTCATTCGTCTGTATCTATCAATCAAGATACAACCTCTGCATTCGTCTGTATCTATCAATCCGGATACAACCTCCGTATTCGTCTGTATCTATCAATCCGGATCCAACCTCCGTATCCGTCTGTATCTATCAATTGAGATACAACCTCTCTAGAATTCCATGGTCTTTAATAATACCTTAGTCTGTATCAATCTGTATATCTTAGTCTGTATCTATCAATCGAGATACAACTCAAGTACAACTCGCTCGCTACATGAAAAATATTACTCTAATACCGTATTGAGCAGAGTTCTTATTCCAACTCATCTATAGTTTGAGTTTTATGGTACATTTTAAATAAAATCATATTACATGTTAATGATAAGGACTGAGAGGTTTTCTCAGAAATTAACGAAAGTAGCTAGGTTACAGATAATGTACAACATAAAATATCTAGGTGTGTTCAGGTTTACAAATATGGGATTTACTACTTATTTCTTACAGATATTTACAGCTTACATAGTTTACTTTACACTCTCAGGTTGCAAAGAAATAGGAATGAAAAGTTTTAGCTTTGTGTCCACCAGTCTCAAGTTTTCTAATTTCTACAAAATACAGATTACCTTCAAACCATGCATGGGATCCACACAAAACCCTTAGATCAAAAAACTATAATCCCTCCAAAACTCTGGGATTCTCAAAACCCTGGAAGTCCTCAAGAACCCTCTGGTATCCCTAAAAACCCTGTAATCCCTCCAGCTAAACCCTGTGATCCCTCCGGCCATAACCTAGGATCTCTTTTAACCTTAAGATCCCTTCGAAACCCTGGAGTTCCTGTAAACCCCTTAAAGGATTCTTTCCAACCCTCTATGATATCCCTTCTAAACCATGGAATCCCACAAACACCATAGAATCCACTCCTAAGTCTTGGGATCCTTCCAAATCTGGAATCTCTGCAAAAACATTGCAATTCAACTCCAGAATACTTGGATTCCTTTCCAGCTTGGGATTCCTCCAGAACTTTGGACTCCCTCCAAAACTTTAAACTCCCTCCAAAACCCGGGACTCCCTCCAAAACCCGGGACTCCCTCCAAAACCCTGGACTCCCTCCAAAACCCTGGACTCCCTCCAAAACCCTGGACTCCCTCCAAAACCCTGGACTCCCTCCAAAACCCTAGACTCCCTCCAAAGTCTGGGGGGGGGGGGCAAATTTCTGGAGTTAAAGTCAGAATAATATAATTTAAATTCTGAATCTCCTAGATTTGCATAATTATAGTTTAGAGAAATATAAATCTACAATTCAAACATAATAAGCGTATGCCATTGTCAAAACAAAGCAAAGATAAGAATTTAACATTTAGATGATAAATATAAAGAACTAAGATTGTAAAGAAAGCCAGATTCAGGGCTGCAGAGCAACCAATACATACTATCAAAATATTTTTTTACTTAAAACTGCATGAACACTCGTCAGATACTCAAAATTTTCTATTCCTATATCTTTGCAACCTTACAATGTAAATCAGGATGCTTAGTAACAGTTAGGCTAAATAACAGTACAAAAGACGACATTCTAATCTAGAGCATTACAGTCATCACAATTTGCCGTTACTTTTGTTTATAACGGTTATTCCGCTCGTTAAACGGAATCTAACTTTAATTTCAAAGACTGCCGTTCGATAAAGTGACTTTGCCCAGCCCTCTATGTAACATTTATTTGCTGCATGTTTAGAACACTATTGTTCTTGTTTAGTGCAAAATATAAATATACTTTTTTTGTGGTTTTATGAAACACTAGCTGAAGAGCCCGACTTTGCACGTGAATTTTTTAGATCGAATTTTGAAATAAAAAATCTTTTAAAAAAAATTGATTTAAAAAAAAGTTTATTATTTTATTATTATTTGACTTGTAGTTTTGACCTTTTTATTGTTAGATTAATGTTTTAGTTCTGATAAACGATTGTTCCTCTTTTATTTGAGAGTGTTGAGAAAAACTAGATTAAGGAGAAGTGCACGTGACAAGAATTTGATCCAGTCTAGTTCTTCCAATCAGAAAATGTCCAGAATTCCTTTATGTAAGGTCACATTTCCTACAAACGTCCCCCCCCCCTTTCATACTGTTTTAATCTTTAACTTTACAGACAAGTAAACGTAGTTTAAATGATACTAGCTTTAAAACCCAGCTTTGTCCGGAAACTGAACTTTTTAAATTTAAAACTTGTAAACCCAGCTAATAGCATCCTTGGTCTAAAAAACTCCTTAAACGAAAGGAATTGAGTGGTTGTCACACACTCTGATTTTTTAATTCCTATATCTTTTCAACCTGATATTTCAAATTTATATTATTTGATCTAACAGAAAACATAGTTTGAAATATCTAAGGTCTACAACATTGGGTTGTAAAAACAGAGATTTTTACTTTATATAAATAGATGTTAGGATGTGTAGATGGATATTTTCAAAATGTACAATACATTGTACGTTGTACATTTTATAAGAATAGCTTTTTTTTGTCGACAACCACCCCCCCCCCTCCCCCTCCAATATCTTAAAAGCATTAAATAGAAAATTACGGTTTTCTATATAAAGGGATACTTAAAATGATGCCGCAAAATATAGTTTCAATCTGTTTACTCCTAAAATATATATATATTCTACAATATGCCAGTTCAAATCATGAATCACCGATTCAAATCCTAGCCTTTCTTCAACTTTGCAAAGGTGATTCAGGATTTGAATCAGCGGTATTTAGTTCAGCAACCTCTCTCCTTTTAATCGAATTCTATACTAATTGTTGAACTCTAATCGAACAGGAATATATATATATAAGTCTAAGAGCCAATTTATTCTTTTATAATGATAACTAAAAACAAGCGCTTTATAATATTTATAAAATGTTAATGGCTACACTCTACAGGGCTAAAATAACGATTTGCAACACTTCGAAGTCGACCCTGTCTAATAAATCGATGCAACTTTTCATAGCAGGCTAAATCTATGTAAGCAGAGCTGACAAATTTAGAATGGTGGATATCGAGATCAATGCTTTATCTCCTATTTTTCTTAATCTCGAGATTAAATAATGCTTGTTCTCCTCTTGTAATTAATCTCAAGATTAATTAAACGATCGGGATTAAGGATATCCCATTTTAAAGTTTTCAGCTCTGATATAATTTTATTTTGTACAATATCAGAATCTTTAAATATCTGTTGCAAGAACACCATGATAAACCGTCTTGAATCGTATTATTGGTTCATAAAAACTTTTATCTTAATCTGATATAAATGATCTTGAACATTTAGTCGGTTTTCTGTCTTAAAAATGTTTAATTCTGGTCATTTCATTCATGGTTTCTGCGGCAGATATCCGTAAGTAAATTCCAGAGAAAATTTTATCTCTACCAATTATCAAGACTGGATCAACTTTAAAGTGTCACAAAACCTTAGACTTTGGTTCAACCTTACTCATTCCTTGTTATAACCATTTTAATCTATATATAAATTTAGCTTGGGTGTCTGTTTGTTTGTTTGTATCCAATAAACGTCAAAACGGCTGAACCGATCGGGCCCAAATCTTGTGTGGGACATCACGTG